GCAGCGAGGCCCTATGTGTAGGAGGAGACGTTACGACCGATTGTATTATGGCGTGGCATCGTTTGGAAGCAAAAGAAACGAGGTCGTAAAAGATGGACAAAGAATCTCAGCTCCTGCTATTTTTTTTTCACAGGATAAAACGAACGCAACATCAGGCAAGTGAGACTGGAACAAACGCATCAACAGAAAAGAGCAGGACAGAGAGAGCTGGGATTCAATGGTTTAAAAAGACATGGTGGGTGGCATGTCCAGCCCTTGTTGCTATAGACACTTGCAAAAGCTGACATCGCACACGGACCTTAGCCCAGGGACTGTAGAACAGTGAGTGACAATTTGGTATCGGTTTGATTGTTTTGATTGTAGTTTACATCAGTTTCCTTCTGAATTATTGTTTGATGATTGATCAGTCGTCAAGGTGAAAAAGATGTTCATATTTTGCAGCTGTTTCTACAGGCACTTGGTAGTTTTGGTTTTTGTCGGAATGTAGATAGACGACAGACAAAGATTGAGACTTTTTTGGGTCCCTTTTTCGGTTTTCGGTTTATTTTCAAACAATGCTTTAACTGTTTTCTACTTCCGCTACAAACCTGTTGGACAGTAGCCTTAGATTCGCTCTTTGTTTTTCTGCGGAACCTTTCACAGGGGAGGGGAGGGCCTGGGCTCCACCTGCTACGTGAGGTCGGAGACCTTTCAGCCTGAGCCCCCTGAATTCCCATCTACACCAAGTTATTTCTATTTCTACCCTTGGGCACTGGGCCCTGGAATATAAAAAAGTTTTTCGGGGGAGAGGTGGGTGAGGTGGGGGCGGGGGGGGGGGAGAACAACACGTGCAAAATGAGAATGAATCTTCACCTAGAACATGGAACGATACACCACCATGAATTCGTTTTTTGTGCATGTACTGAGTAGTGGAGCGAGGCCCTATGAAAGAAAGAAAGATAAAAAAACGACGCACGTAGAAACAGGAAAACAGCACGTGAAAAATGAGAATCAATCTTCTGCTAGAACACGGAAGCGTAAACTGAGGCCCTGTCCCGTATGTGGCTGCTCACCCAAACGGGGTTATTCATTTGCACCGCGCCCACTTGCCACATGACAAAGAAGAAATACAAAACAACAGAAACCAACAAACAGAACGCCGCAACAAAAAAAAAAGGGCCATAGTTTGGTCGCAGGAGACAGGCGGAAGGTGTCGAAGGTGGAGGGAACGTGTGGCTATTAGTTTCTAGAGCTCTAGGGCTCCAGGAGGACCCAAACCCCGCTCCAGGGGTCTTTTTCCTTTCTTTGCTGTCAAGTAAAAAAAAAAAAAAAAAAAAAAAAGCTTTGTTCTAGCTGTGAGTAATCTCTCTGTAAGAAGATAATAATGGTTCCCTTAGGTTT